ACAGTCCTGGAGGACATTGTAACTCCAGTTCCAAGAGCTCTGAGGAGCCAGGCATGCACAGGAGAAATACATAAAATAAGTCTAAAATAATCAAATTAATATATAAAATCTATAATCCTAGCACTTGGCAACTGGAGGTAGGAGAATCAGGTATTCAGTTTAAGGTCATTCTTAGCTACCCACGAATAAAAAGAGAAAAAATATAACAAATAAAAGCATGAGATAAGATTTGGGGGGGGTGCTGGGTGAGGTCTATTGGGTTGGAGGTGTCAGGCCATAGAGGATGTCTGATTCCCTAAGACTAGAGTTGCAGAGAGTTGTGACACTCTGTGTGGGTGTTGGGAATCGAACCGAGGTCCTCTGATAGAATAGCCAGTGGTTTCAACCCAGTGGGCCGTCTCTCAAGCCACTGTCACATGAGGAGCAACTGCTACACCCGAAGACTCCCATTCTCCATCCTGTCTTGGACAGCAGCTGTACAGCATCAGCTCCTCTGTGGTCTTGAAGCACCTTGGAGACCATTGAGGTTGCCTGTACAGTGTGGCCCCACAGACCAGCTGTTTGTCTAAGGTATGGTGACAGCATACTCTTCTATTTGTCAACCAAGGAACCAAGAGTCTGACCTTCAGTTGCTTAACCAAGGGCTATTTTCCCAGCTTGCAAGCCCTTGCCCAGTCGGAATGTGCTGAACAGAGCCAGAAGTATGAATGCGTTGTTGTAGGCCCAAAGAGACCATGTGCCCTAGCCCTCTGCAAAATCCCATCTGTGTGTATTTTGCAAAGGCCAGGAGTGGACCTTTTCAAGTGTAACTAGGGAGCACTTGGGAAAGTCAGCTCTGAGTTTACAGATGGGAGCACTCAGGTAGGGCCAGAGTTCACTGAGCTTGTGGGGGCGCCCAACACAGGGAATATTTGCCTGATTGCATACCAACCACACTTGGTCCCTGGGTTAATGTTGCCCTCTGACTTGAGCAGGCCACATCCCTCTACCCAAACCGGTGAGTTCCCAGCTGAGAGGTTGGGAAAGGGGCCTGCTGGTCCTCCGGGCCTGCTTAGCTTGAAGTTGCCAAGTAGGCACCTGAGTGTTCCTCTGGCTTTGTGCCACCCTGTGACTTCCAAGGGCTCCTTGTTATCAGCCCGTCCACACCCCCAGCACCAGTGCTCACACTCGTGTGGGTTGTGTTGGCTTACTAACCTTTAGAGCATGTCTGTCTTTTAAGCCTGCAGTGTGCTGGGATTACAGGAATGCACCATCATTCCTGATTCCTGGATAATGCACTTTTTGTTGTTGTTGGTTTTTTTTTTTTTTTTTTTCACCAGCCCTGCTCTCTTGTGGAAAAAAAGGCAAGGTCTCATGTAGCCTAGGCTACCCTCAAACTCTCTAGGTAGTCAAGGATGGCCTTCAGTCATGAATTCCAGATCCCCGTGTCTTCATCCCAAGTGCTGGTATTGCTGGCCTATGCCCCTACCTTTTTTTACTGAATATGGCAGACCCCCAGACCCCTTTCAGTGTCCTTTGAAAACAAGGACTTTAACCTTCAGATACTTAATGACAAAATTAAATTCTACTTTTTAAGCGTTTTGTTGGCATGAATACAAATAAAGGAAAGAAGAGATCTGATTGGACAGTGAGGCAAATCCTCTACATTATTAAACAGAGAACAACCTGGAACCCTGGAGGTTGGAGACTGCAAGGTGCCATAGACATGGGCACAGCCAGCAGACTGAGCCAGGACTGGTTTTAATCCACTGCTGGCTTTGCTGAAGACAGGCTGTTCCACAGAAATAAGCGGCAGCCATGAGGGGTCCTGCCTTGCCCTTGTCTGACTTAATTCCGATTTGGGCATCAGTTTACTTTAGTGCAAAAAACCCACAAAAATGCAGGATTGGCATCCATCATCAGGCAGCTTTTGTTCTTGAGGCCCTGCTGGGAGAGGCCTGAGGCTGGAAGCCAAGTTCTGTGAGGGCACGGTGCCTCTGTGATCTAGGCCTAGGGGTGATGGCCCTCTCTGAAAGGACAGCTTTGAGATGAGGCCAATCTCTATATAGGCTGCACAGTCTCTCTGGGCCATGCTTGTTTTGTCTAACTTACCTCCTGGTTTCCACAGACACCTCAGCTGTCCTCAAATAAAAGCCTGTATCTTAATCTGGGATAGGATGGATTAGGGGAGTCAGGTACCTTTTCCCTTCCCCTGCTGGCTTTATTTTATTTCATTTTTAAACAAGGCCTTGTTACATAGCCCTGACTGGTCTGGAATTTCCCCCAAGCTTGAATTTTCTGAGCAACATCCTGGGGGAAACATCTGGAATGTGATGAAGGAACATGAAGAGTCCACGTTTAAAGTCTCTAGAAATTGTACACTTTGAAGCTGGGTGTTTGGTTCACACCATAATCCCAGCACTCGAACGTGGTAGGTTGAAGCAGGAGAATTGTCTAGAATTTCAGGCCAGCCTGTGAGACTTTGACTTAAAACCAAAACAAAACATTTTAAATCTAAACTCACTGCTTAGGCCTTCAGAGAAAGAGCTCATTTCCGGGATCTGAGCTTCAAGGTTCACACATGATTACACAGGAAGTCCCCTTCTCAGGCCCCCTGAGCCAGTAGTTAGGCTCTCTCTCTTTCCAAGAGCACCTCTGCCCCCGCCACCCCAGGAATGTCAGGTATCCCAGGTGAGGCCTAACCAGACAGGATTATTGGCAGGAGATGGTGAATGATCCTGGGGATTCTGTGTAGAATGGAGGTTCACCACCTTGACCTTTGCATCATGAACACACCTATGGTTAATTGTCCAAGCCCTTCTGCACTCCTCAGTGCTGAGTAGATCTGGAAGGAAGAAAGGGAGGGAAGGGGGAAAGAAAGGAGGGAGGTAAGGAGGGAAGAAGGAAGAGGGAGAGAGAGGGAAGCAGGGACAGATGGAAGGAGGAAGACAGGGTGGGAGGGAGGGAGGAAGAAGGGAGGGAGAGAGGGTGAGTGGGAGGCAGGAAGGGAGGGAGAGAGGAAGGAAGGGCTGGTGGGTCATTCAGCTTATGTATTGAAAATTGCTTGGTTGGTCTCTGCCTAAAAGAGTTGGGAGAGGTCGTTTTTGGTAGTCAGACAGAACCCATACAGCTTGTAGACCAGCTACTCCCTGTGTCCAGTTTGATGACTGGTACTCCTGGGGCCCAGAAGGCGCCAGGTGACATGCAGGGCCAGCTGTGTAATGATACTGGTGCCAGTAAGGATGTGTACCAAAAAGGGTCACCTGGGTTCACTTGACCCCTCCAAGGCTGGGAGCTTCATATTCTCTTTCTTATGCTAGCAGCTTTGATATCTTCATGGATCTTCTGTCAGAATGTAGATAAGTGTTCAGAACACAGCCCAGAGGGTGGCAATGTGGCTTCTCAGCCTCTGGATCCAGCAAGTCCCAAACAGGCAAAGTCCCCAACAACCATCTGTGCTGAGATGGAGTGTGGTAGTCAGGCCCCAGCATGCTGAGCTTTCTCAGGCTTGTCCTCCAGCTCTTCTGGCCTACCATCATCTCCCTGGAGCAGTTGTCACCTTCCTGGTCACCCTTCCCAATATGACCAGCCCACCTTTCACACCCTCAGAAAGTACAGAAGTTCCTGCTCTGATGCCAGGGGTCCAGTGCTGCCGAGGTGTGCATATGTTGGGATCAGTTGGAGTGGAGAAGTGTGACAACACAGGATGTCCTTGCATTAGACGCCTGCCTGGTAACATACACTGTGGATTTTGTAACCTATCCCCACATGCTCTGGGTGAATGAACACCCTCCCAGTACAGCCTGCTCCAGAATGTATCCTCTGTAGAAGGGATGAGCCTGGCTTTTCAGTTCATAGCAAGCTGCCTTCTACCTGCCATGTGATTGGAAGGCAAGGCAAGTAAGTCCCTCTGTCTCCTTATCTGAGCGTGATAGGTAGAGAGAAAGGAGGGCTGAATTTGGTTGCCAGATCTAGTCACAAATCTGCCGCGAGCAGGACAGTTGTTCTTTGTCTTGGCAGAGCTGTGGACAGGGCCGCGAAGATGGGCTGGGGAAGTCTTCTGGTGGGGCATATGGCACTTGCTTTCCAGAACCTCAGAGAGCAGCATTTAGAACTGCCAGGGAAATGTGAGGACTGTGTACTTGGTGCTGACCCTGGACATTCCTACGAGAAAAAAAACATTGAGTTTGGGTGACCCCCAAAGGAACTAGTTCCCACTGACGAAGGACTCCTCTGTCGAAGCTAACAGGAAAGGCCACAGTCTGTTTTTGGTTGTTGTTGGGTTTGTGTTTTGACATGTTTTTAGAAAGGATCCCCTCAGATGGCACAGGAGGAAAGGTCCTGTGAGTGAAAAAAACAAAAACAAAACAAAACAAAACACTGTGGCCTCCATAAGGGGATCTTGGGCCCTAACACAACATCTGGGCAGCTTGCTTGTTGGTCTCTATTGGAGATCCAAGCCTGTGACACCCTCAGAACTTCTCTGCCTGGCCTAGCCATAGCCTGTTCAGCTATGCACCCGTCCAGGGAGCGATCAACTTCTCCCTGGAGTCCAGAGGAGTAGGCTGGTCTCTCCTCCGGGGCAGACGTGAGAGCCAGAGCGGGCCCTACTGAGCCAACAGGCGGCCGTAGCCATACGAAGCACATTAAGTATTAATAATTTCCAGTTGTTTGCTCGCCCCCCCCCCCCGCCCCAGGCCTCTGCAGGCTGGGACTCAGCTCTGGCTCTGGGCTGCCAGATCTAGAGATATTAGCACCTCCCGGGGGCCGGGGGACAGGACAAGGGACAAGGATCCCTGCGCACCCCTGAGACTGGGTGGGGGGCCGGACAGAGCCCGGCAGCCTTGCCAGGGGCGACACGGCTTGCCGGAGGGGGGTGGGTTGCGGAGGGGGCGTCGCGGGAAGATCGAGGCGCGGGCAGGCTGGGAGGCGCGCGGCGGGAGCGCAGCGGCCCCTGGTGCACGGCCTCTCGGCGGCCACCACGGCTGGGCCGGCCCCCGAGGCGGGGCGGAGGGCGGGGCCTCAAGCGAGCGGGGCCGCAGGCGACACCCGGACAACGCGCCGGCGGCGGGGCGAGGAGGGCGGCCCGGAGGGCAGCGGCCCTGGCCCGCGTGTGCGGCCCACTCTCACACTCCTACACCGCGCTGGCTGTCCCCGGCCCCGCCACACGCGCAGCCATGGTGGGCCGGCTGAGCCTGCAGGATGTCCCTGAGCTCGTGGACACGAAGAAGAAGGGCGAAGGCGTCCTGGACAGCCCGGACTCCGGGCTGCCCCCAAGCCCTAGCCCCAGCCACTGGGGGCTCGCCGCAGCGGCGGGCGGCGGTGGGGAGCGCGCACCGGTCCCAGGAGCGCTGGAGCCGGACGCGGCGGCGACCCCAGCAATCCCGGTGAGTTGCCTCGTGCGCGGACTTCTCCCGGTCCAGGTCCATCCGGAGCCAGCCCCGGGGACTCCCCAGCGCTCGCTGTCGGTGCGGCCACCCGCCTGTCGAGACGGCGTGGCCATCGCCGGGAGCCGGGGCGGGAGCGCAGCGAGAGAGCCTGGCCAGCTGGAGCCAGTGGCTGGAAAATTGTCATCGCCTGGGAGGCGCGGGAGCCTAGGGAGAGGCGAGCCGCGGTCTCCTCCCTTCGAGGTGGTGGCCCCCGGGGGCTGCCAAGCTGCGGCTCGACCACATTCCTGTCGGGGCGGGCTGGGTGGGGCTCCCGGGACACGGACAGGGAACCCGGCCCTCCCCACCCGGGGGGGCCCACGCCCCGAGGCTTTGCTCCCAAGGCGGCCTCCCTCTGCCCGGACCTGGGAGAGGGGTGTGTTCCGGGCTCTGGCACAAGGCGGACCAGCCTTTGGGAGACCTGGAGAGTCAGGCTATGAACCTTCAGTGTGTTGGTGGGCCCAGGTCCTGAATACCTAACTCAGCCAGAGTTAGGATCTTAACGAAATCAGACTACTCTAGGTGGCCAAGGCTTTGAACTACAAACTTATTGCAAGAAAAACTCGTCTGTTTTGCCCTGGGTACTGTTCAGGTGGTGGTTTGCAGGCCGAGCAAGCTCAGGGAGGCCACATCCTGCCTACAGTCGAAGGGATGTGCTGTTGACTGGCCTCCAGTGGGGTGGTCAGTGGCTGTTATTCTTGAGGACCACTGTGGAGCCTTGGTGCCTTATTGACCCTGTCCTAGCAAGCATCAGCTCCTCATACTTCATTCCAAGGTGAAGCTGCTTCAGCTTGGCCTTCTGGACTTTTAGCCTCATCTTACCACAGAACAGACACTCACAGTGCTTCTGATGTCACTTCTTCCAGCTGCCATGAACCTTGACCTTCACCTTTCTCATCCAAGCCCTGAAGGCCCTTACATACTCAACTATGTCGCCTCTTCTGGGAGCTTTCTTAGACATGTTCCAGAACCTGTGGCTTAGTGTCCATCCTTCAGTGTCCCCTTGTAGATTTGTCTCTCAGTACCGCCGCTAACCCACCTCATCTCCCTCCCACACCTAGATACCCAGGGAGTGTCTACCTGCTGGGCAGGAGTAAGAGGCAGGGAAAGGGAAGCCAAATGGACTCCTGGATGAGAGTTGCCTTGGGGTGTGGGAGAACAAACTGTGGTGGCTACATAATGCTGCAGCTCCTGGGGCTGCCTGGGATGTGTCCTCCTGATGGGGACACTCCGGGAGCCAGAGAGCAGAGCAGGACTCACTGTTTGTAGGTCTGTACCCACATCTCATAACCATACCCACTCCCCCAACCTGGAGTCACTAAGCTCCATCCTAGCCCCGGAGCTGTATCTCAGGACTCTCGACTGGTCCTTTTGGCTTTTGCATCTTGTCCTGGTAACACAGTAAAGATCTCAGAGTCAACCTTCTAGGAACATTTGCCTTCTTTGCCCTGGGGGTGGGTCTGCCACTTCCACGCCCTGGCTCAGATGTAGTTCTTGCTCTTAAATTAAGCAAAGAAAATGACAGATCTCAGAAAACCAGAGAGCACCAAGGGCTGCGGAGGTCCCTCTGCACTGTGTTTATCTCTGCACATGAGCACAGAGGGCCGGATTCTAGCAACCTGGGTGACCAGAGGCTGTCACCTGAGCTTCCCTGCTGAGTCAAAGGCTGCAGTCTGCAGTGTTCCACTGTCACAGAGTTGCAGGAACCCTCTGTCTTAGATGGCTGCAAAGGGGGTGAGGCAGTAGGAGTGGGTCTTTTTACCTTAAAAAAAAGAAAAAGAAATAAAAATGCCAGGAGCTCTTCTTCCTTGGCAGCAGCTGTGGCCTTCTTTCTCTAACTATTGCTGAGATAATGACAGTGGCGGGGACTCCCGCGTAATTGAGGGCTCTGAAGAGTTAAGCTTGAGTGTGGGGCTTTCTTACCACAGGACTCCTGTGGTACAGCGGCCTCTGCCTCTGGCTCTGGCCTGAGGAGGAGTTCATCATGCCAGCTTCCTCTTCTGGCTTTCACAGACCTTCCCCCAAGTGCAGATAGAGATACAGATGTGACACAACTCACACAGGCAACAAAGCTCACTTAGGACGGACCTTCCTAAGGTGATCATCGGTCCAATGCCTGTCACTGAAAAGGGAGGGGCAGGGTTGACCTGGGATTTGACCTCTAACCTTCCTGCCCTGTCTAGTCCACTTCCCATGGCATGGGCCAGCCCTGTCCTTTGTAGGGCCAGACTGTAGTCACCATTGGGACCTCTCACTAGAGGCTCTGAGGCTCAGCCTTCTGTGGAGTGTATGCTTTGGCTGGTCAGTCATAGGTCTAACCATTCTCTCTCCCCAAAGAACCCAGCATCTCTGACCCACTCTCTGGCTGCCAGCTGCTCACCACGGCTCTGTCCCCTGTCCTTCGGCGAAGGAGTGGAGTTTGACCCACTACCACCAAAGGAAATAAAGTGAGTGTACGGACCCTGATATTATTTCTTAAAATGTTTTCAAAATTCCAGGTGTGATTGTTTATTGTTTTTAAAAGTTAATTATGAAAATGTACCAGACTATTAATAGTTTGACTTATTTTCTAACATGATAAATAAATGAAGTATCTATATGTCTAATTAGTTATGTAGCTAGTTAGTTTAAGTTTTCAGATGGGGCCTTGCTATGTTGTATTAGCTGGCTTGGCATTCACTGTATAGCCCAGGTTATCATCCAACCTTAGGATGTTACCTCTCTCTTGGCCTCTTGCGTGTGAGGATTATAGGTGTGCAACACTATAAAAGTGAGATTTGGTGTTGAAGTTCCGCCGTATGTTTTACACATTTCATACACCATGCCTTTGGGTGCTAAAAATTTTCTTTCCTGAAGCCACTTGTCCCCTCTGTCCCACCTTCAAGGTGCTGTGACCCTGTGTCGTGTTATGTCCCTGGACGAGTCCTCTGGGAATGATCTCACCCAGGATGATTGGGGGCAAAGAGTCGTGGAGAGGTCCCAGCAAAGGGCTGTCTTTCTAGTGAAAAGAATTTTACTTTTGGTGCCTGGGGGTTTTGTAGCTGGAGTTTCAGTTGCCCGAACACAAAGAGGCCTTTGATATGGAACAGAGGGAGGTTCATGCATTTGGAGGTGAGCACGTTCGCCTTTTATTCCCCTGGAGCTTGTGTTTCTGACAAAACTGGGACATGACTTCGTGACATTAGCTCCTATCAGTATCTTGTGACTCCAGGGAGAACAGACAGAATGCTGCTTCTCACCCACATGACGCGGGGATACTGATAGCAGTGAAGCTGTAATATTGATGTAGCCAAGTGGTCATTGTGGCCTCCCAGGACACATTAACCCCTAGCCGTGAAGGATGTGTAGACCTATATATATAGTCCCAGCCAGCGCTTAGGAGGCTGAGGCACGTAGGAGGCTAAGGCATGAGCTAGGGGAATTCTAGGCTAGGCTGGCCTACTTAGCAAGACCTTGTCCCAAAATAATAATAATAATAATAATAAAGCAACTGAGGGTTATAGATAGCATGTTAGTTTGTGGCCATCAGGGATGCCCTTGGCTTTCATTGATAGAGTTAGGCCCCTGGGTCCCCCAAAGCTGGGAAGTTTCCAACGAGGTAGGCCAAGCACTGAGGCCATGACTGTAGCCAAGCTTCTAGAGCCAGCCCTCAGCAGTACTGGGATTCTTCCTCTTCTCATGCAAGAACTGGCTGGTCATGGAGGGAGTGGAGAAGCTCCTTACCCCATACAGCAGCCAACTCCATCTCCTTCCATGACACAGGGCTGCTCAATGACAGGTGTGTTCAGAGAACAGGTCCTTAGGCAATGCCACTGCATGTTGTCCTAGGTCCTTAGGCAATGCCACTGCTTGTTGCCCCAGGTCCTTAGGCAATGCCACTGCATGATATATATCTTAGGTCTCTGTTCGCATCATGAAAGGAAGTCAAGGCAAGAACCTTGAGGCAAGAACTATGGCAGGGTGCTGCTTCTGGCTCACTCCTGCAAGCTTGCTCAGTTTGCTTTCTCACACACCCTAGGACCACCTGCACAGGAATGCCACTGTCCACAGTGGGCTGCACCCTTCCACATCAATCACCAATCAAGAAAATGCCCTATGGGCTTGCCTACAGGCTAAACTTGTGGAGTCATTTTCTCATTTGAGGTTCTTGAAGTTCTTCTCAGATGACTCTAGCTCGTATCAAATCGTCAAAAAAAGAAAAGGAAGGAAGGGAGAAAGAAAGGAAGGAAGGAAGGAAGAAAGAAAGGAAGGAAGGAAGGAAGAAAGAAAGAAAGAAAAAGTGGGGGAGGGGGTAGCCAGAGCACATGGACCTGTTAACATGCACTTTGCATAATGAGAAGGTGCTATGTCACTCACTAGTGTAATCTTCTGGGACCACTGTCATGTATGTTGCCAGTCATTGACCAAAATGTCTTTGTACTGTGTGACTTAATTACCCCGATAGCACTTGGCTTCATGTAGACACTGTGCCCCTTTATCATCAGAGAGGATTCTGAGGATTCTAAGCCATTAGACTGAGAGGGCTTCTAGCTTATGGAAATAGGAGTGGATTTAGGGCTGTGGCCTGCTGTGGGAAATGGTGAGCTCAAGGTAAACTTTGGAAGCCTGTGTGCTGCATTTAGGTCCCAGCTCAGACCTGGAGGTTTAGCTCAGGGGTAGAGTGCTTGCTTATCACTCCAGGCCATGGTTTCTATCCTCAGCCCTGCAAATGCATCAGTCAGTCCATTATCCATCCTTCCATCCATCCACCCACCTACCCCAGTCCATCATTCAGGGATACTGTGACCCTTCATCGCTGCATCTTGCTCTCTTGTTCCAGGGTGTTTGGGAAGATGCATTTAGATAGGTCCTGTGACAAAGTGACTGGAATAACAGGCCTCTCATAAAGTATTCCCATAGACTCTTGCTGCTGCTCCCTGATGCAGCCAAGTTCAATATCTGTACGCCTGGAGAGATGAGAGGGTCCTACTTGGGATCCCATGCTCCCCACTCAGAGAGCAGCTTCATGCTGGCTTGTGTCTCCCCACAGGTATACGTCCTCCGTCAAGTATGACTCTGAGCGACACTTCATCGATGATGTGCAGATGCCCCTGGGCCTGGCGGTGGCTTCCTGCAGCCAGACAGTCACCTGTATCCCCAATTGCACTTGGCGAAACTATAAGTCTGAGGTGCACTTTGAGCCCCGCCACAAGGCTGCACGCTTCCTCAGCACCACCATCATCTACCCCAAGTACCCCAAGACCATCTACACCACCACTCTGGATTACAACTGCCACAAGAAGCTGAGGAGATTTCTGTCCAGTGTGGAGCTCGAGGCCACCGAGTTCCTGGGTAGTGATGGTCTCTCAGATGAATGTTGACTCAAGTTAGCTACTTGGGGTTGGGCCAGCTGTTCATACACTGCCCTGGTCTGCAGACCACCCTGGACAAGCTGGGTAACATTGCTCTTGTACATCATCCCAGCCCCAGAGGAGTCTTACCTGGAGATACCTCTAAACCTAGCCAGGGGAAAAGAAAATCACTGCATCTTATAATAATAGAGGAACTTGGCTTTCTTTAAAATTTTTTTCAGATAGGGTTTTTTGTTTGTTTGTTTGTTTTGTTTAAGGAGCATGTATATATATGTTCTGGTTGGTTGATGCAATTTCCCCAAAGGCTCAATTTGATGAAAATAAGGATAGGCAGAACAAAGGGACTATGACATCAGACAGGCTGAGGGGAGGTTGTTCTCCATTTCCTGATGAAGAAAGTGGGAAAGTCTCGGGGACAGAAACAGTGAGCTTTAAGAAAGTTTAGCCATGCATATCTTCATTGCTGGAAAACAAAACAAAACAAAAGCAAAGAGGAGCTAGCTCTGGTAGCCTGTGATGCCCAGGTGTGCCCGGCCTGGAGACGAGTGCCCTGGACCATTTTTGTTTGCACTTCCATTTGATTTTTCCTGCTAATCCAAACTCTTAGCATTATCAAGATCTTTGCCATGGTATTAGGGGAGAAAAACAAAAACCGCAAAAGGAGATGCCTTTAAAACATGAGCTTTCTGCCTGTTCCGCCTTCGTCGGACTGGGTAAACAGCTAGCCCAGTCTGGGCCACCGCAGCCGTCTGGTGCTCAAAGGCTGGTTCCAGGCACAGGCTCTGCTGCAGCCCTAGCGTGCTTGGCATCTGGTTAACATCTCCCTAGGCTTGTGTGATTCCGCTCATAGGTATTTTTGGGGGTTTCGAAATACTTTCCCTTTTTTTTCCACAAGGCAAAATGCAACAGAGGCCTCTTCTTGAGAGGAATGGCATTTTAAAGAATGCTTTGGGAAAATGCATGTTGGAACTTCATGGAAAGGGATTCCACTGTGGGCTGCCTGGCCCAAGAGCAGCTGTGATAGGAGGAGGCAGATTCGGATGCGACTTGCATCACTGTGATCCAATGTCTTGATGGACCGATTCTTAGGACTTTGATAGCATCATAACTGGGAGGAATTTGGTTTAACCCCAGAAAGCAAGGAATAGTGCTTACCATCCATGTTAAGCTGAGTTCAGGAATAGGGAGTGATAATTCAAATACCACAGCCTTGCCTCTGTGGTGATGGGGGAACATTTGTTTTGTGCTATTGTATACACAGACGTGACTATGGTGGACTTGAGTACGAATCAAAGGTGTTTGCCGGCTGAGCCAGCCACCACAGCAGGAACAATGCTGGCCCAGTGTGTGCTGTGCACCAGGCTGCCCCTGTTCCCCTGCTCCTATCCCAGGCCTGGCCCTTGCTCCTTAGAACCCCCTGCCAGGCCCCACAGTGTTGGAGAAAAGAAAGTGGCAAACTGATTTTTCTTCCAGCATTGGAAAGAACAAGCTGTACATATTTCCATGACATCCAAACCATGTCAAGTGGGTTACAGAGTCCCGGCCTTCTGTGATGTCTCTGGGTCTGTGAGGATGGCTTCCATCTGTCTAGAAATCAGAACTGAGAACATGCTGGCTCCCCTGGGGTCATAGCAGAGACCCATTATCATGGAAAAGAGGTATAAAGATAATGGCTCTCACCTGAAGACTGTGGCACTGTCTAGAGCCACACCACCTAGTCCATGTCTGCTGCAGGCAGCAATGTCTGGTCTCTTGTACTTTTAAGTCATCCCCCTGGGCAGAGAGATAGCTGGCTTCATGGTCCCAGCTGACAGCTCAGTTGGGGACACACTGGGGCACACAAGCTCTTCAGTCAAACTCAGAGTGACAAATGCTATTTGGCTTTGGAAAAGCATTTATCAGCAAAAGTGGATTTTCTATCTGACTTTATAATGTCACTGGAGTGGGAAATATAATTTCTTAATTTCTTTTTGCAAATACAGGGTGTTTTGGGGGGGTTGTTGGTTTGTTTTTGTTTTTTGTTTGTTTGTTTGTTTAGTTTGGTTTGGTTGTTCGAGACAGGGTTTCTCTGTGTAACAGTTCTGGCTATCCTGGAACTTGCTCTGTAGACCAGGCTGGCCTCAAACTCACAGCAATCTGCCTTCCTGTCTCCCAAGGGTTGGGATTAAAGGTGTGCACCATCCCGAGCCCCACTCCCACCCTGTCCAAATACAGTTTTTAAATTAGGAAAATCACCAAGGATTTGCTCTGCCTCTTTGGAAACACTTGTTTTGGTTCAGAATGATACCTTAAAAAATCTCTCTCTCCCTCCCTCCCTCTCTCTCTCTCTCTCTCTCTCTCTCTCTCTCTCTCTCTCTCTCTCTCTCTCTGGTCTTAGTTAGGTAGGATCATGTTAAGTTCAGGCAGAACATTCTAGGTGTGGATGGGACCAGAACTGTATCAGTAAGTAGATGTGAGAGACTGCGGATGTCTACTGTGGATGGAAAGGTGTGGGGTTATAGGACAGGTCATTGTCTAGGAGCTGGCTGTATGGAGCTGTTTGTTGAACCTTCTCTGGTTCTCAAGCTGCAGGCTGGGAAGCTGGATGACATGCTGGAGCACCCTGATGGCAGTGTCACCAGCCCAGAGCAGATTCCTGATGGGTGGTGGAGTGGAAGAGGTTTTTAAAACTCACTAGACGTTCCTAAGTGTGCATGAGAGACTGGGTGTGTTCATGAGGAAGCTGTGTTTTTCTCAGCTTTGGCTGCCGTAGATGCTGTGTGTTTCTACAGAAAGGGGTTTTTCTCTCAAGTGCCCAGAGACTTCATTTGAACAAGAGTCTTTTCATTTGACACTTTTCCTGTTAAACTTAGAAAATATTTGACACACACCAAAAGACCAAAAACTAAATAAATAAAATAAATCCTTTAAAATTATCTGTGACCTCTGTCCCACTCCATTTTTGCTTTGTGACTTCTCCACTTATTAGCTAAAAACATAAAACCCAGGGATGCTTGCTTTATTCATTCATTCATTCATTTTGTTTTATTGTTTTTTGGTTTTCGAGACAGGGTTTCTCTGTATAGCTTTGGAGCCTGTCCTGCAGCTCTGTAGACCAGGCTGCCCTCGAACTCACATCTGCCTATCTCTGCTTCCTGAGGGCTGGGATTAAAGGCGTGTGCCCCCAATGCCCAGCTTCATTCTATTTTTTAGGGTTTTTTTTTTTTTATGGTTTTGATGTTTCAGTTAGTTTGATTTGATGAGCAGGCTCACTGTGCAGCCCTAGCTGGCCTCAAACTCATCCTGTAGAATGGGATGGCCTCAAACCACAAAGATCAGCCTATCTTTGTCTCCCAGGTCCTGGAATTAAAGGCATGTATCACCATGCCTGGGGGCTGCTTTCATTTATTTTCTTTTTTTGTAAAATTATGATGTTGGGATCAGCAAACTGAGGAGAGCCCCTCATCTTGAGACCCCCCAACCCCCCCAGCCCTGCTAATTGCTAGGTAAGCAATCTACCCCACAGCTGTCCCACACTGCTTGATACATTTTCTTTGTGACATAGCTCCCATAGCCCAGGCTAGCCTCAAATGTGCAGCCAAGGATGGCCTTGAGTCCCTGCTTCTATGCCATAAATGTTGGGATTGTGGGCATACACTGGCACACCCAGCTAGACATGATTTTATTTGACTGCTAATATGAAGATGTGAGTCAGATATTGATTGCCAGGCACAGTTTAAAAGGGAGTTGGATTCCAACCGGGGTGTGTACTCTTCCCTGACATTGATCCTCCAGGAAATATAGCCACCACCTGGGATGTCAGGCCACCTCTCTCCACAGCAAACTGCCACTTTACAGAAGAAATGCATGCCTGGGTGGTAGCCTCCCTGCTTTTCTTGAGGTAGGAGGCTCTGGGCTGAAATCCAGCAGGCACTGGACAACAAACCAGAAAGAACATGCCTAGAGTCCTCGGGAGGCTTCACGTCTGTGACCGTCGGATGGGGCGATGCCAGAGGCATAGCAAGGTTGTCATGAGTGGAGTGTCCTCACTGCTAGAATCTCAAAATGAGGTAGGGGACGCAATGACACTCTAGATTCTAAAAAGGAAGTTACACAGTCTGATGAAGTAAAGCCCTATAGAGAAGTAATGACGCCTCTCACCTGTCCCAAGGGTCATAGCTGACCCCAACAGCTAGTCTGACTTACATACTAAAGACTCAACCATGAGCCCCGAATGACACACAAACCCCAAATGTACTAGGATGTGGGGAGGTGCTTGGCATTCTATATGGCATTCTTTCCCAGGAGTTTAGGGCAGGGTGCATGTCCCATGAAGGGTTTAAAGCAGTGCTTCTCATCCTGTGGCTTGTGACCCCTGGAGTGGGGGTGGTTGAGCTAAAACCATCAGAAAACACATACTGAAAGACGAGCAGAGGGTGTGTACCCTCACGCCCGACTCAGGAAAGGCGCCCCCCCCCCCAAATCACTCACGAGAAGCGGTCTTGATGCAAAAGCATGAGGTCTTTATATTCTAGTGCACTGGGGTCCACAGCCATACTCCACGTGGGGTAGAGGACTGGGAACCCTGGGTACAGGGTTCAGACAGCTTTTTTAGGATTACAACAAAGCCCTCGCACCATAAACCAATCATCTCATAGCATCCAGTGCAGACCAATCAATTTGAACTATCCAAGCCAGCGCTTAGCCCAGGAAGTCTGCTTTCACTAGGGCTTCTGGGTAGTATGACAAGGCTCATTTCTTGTGTTCATTCACTCACAGGTGCTGTCATAAACTGCCCAGTCAAGAATGTGACCTTTTGCCTACTCATTGCTAGGGGGCAGAGTCTAGGGAGAGTTAGGCTAAATTTTTCCATCCTTACAATACTTACATTACAATTCATAACAAGCAAAATTATAATTATGAAGCAGTAACAAAAATAATTTTATGGTTGGGGGGGGGATCACCACAACATGAGGAACTGTACTAAAGGGTCACAGCATTAGAAAGGTTGAGAACCACTGGATTCTGGGAGAAAGGTCAGAGAATTTACTGGTTTGGTCTTCTGAGTCAGGGTTTCCAGATGTAGCCCAGGCTAGCCCTGAATTTACAGAGATCCTTCTAACTGCCTCCCAATTCGGGATTCCAGGCCCTGCCTTGGTTTTATGGTTTGCCTCAGGCCAGAAGGTGAAGGGAAGGAGTCATGAGTTTCATAGCCTGCTTCAAGGGAAAGTATGGAGGGTCCGAGAGAGGTCTTCCTGCTTCTCCATTCCCTACCACCACACCCAGAGTGCCAAAATTCCACATTTTGGGGTAGTCTTTTCTGTACCTCATCAATCTTTTTTGGGCACAGTGGAGAAATGGGGGTAGGAATGACTGAAATGGATTGCCCAGGAAGCCAAGTTTGGTGGCTCAAGCCTGTATTTCCATCACTTGTGAAATTGAGGCAGGATCTTTAGTTCGGGTTTGTCCTGAACACCACACATCGGGAAAGATGAGTTGGGTAATGTGCTTGCTGTACAAGTGTGAGGAGCTCCCCAGGATCCATGTGAAAAGCTGGGTGTGGTGGTATCCAAATCTGTAGTACAGGAGCCAAGCAGAACATCCCTGGAGCTCAATGGCAGCAAACTGGTGACCTTAGTGAGCAACCTTGCCTCAAAAACAAGATGAAGTGACAGAGAAAGACGCTCAAGGTCAACCTCTGACCTCTACACAGACATAGACACACATAAATAAATATGTAATTAAGGACGGAGCACAAAGGCTTCATGCTGCATTCCTGCTCAGATAAAAGAAAGGCTCTGAGCCTTATCTAAAATTTGCCTTTGAGCTATGACTCAGAAATAAATACCCAGGAATTCATAGTATCATTCCTAGGATTCTTTTTCTAGTCTCTCCTATTATTTTAAGTGTGAGAGATTGAATGCAGGGCTTTCACATGTGCTAAACTATTCCCGTTTACCATAAACTGTGCCCCTAAAAATAAAATAAATATTAAAATCAGAAGGAAGCAAAAAATGCCATTTTCATCATTGTCTTCACCAGTGAGAAAAGGCAAGAAAAATAAAATAGCCTTGTTATAGGTTATCTGTACACTGTGTGAAGATGTATCGCTGTGATTGGTGTAATAGAGGAATGGCCAACAGCTAGGCAGGAGGTTATAGGCAGGAGTTCTGGGCAGAGAGACAGGGAGGAAAAATCTAGGTGTGCAATTTTGCCAGCAAACTCTGAGCAAGTTGGATGTGCCATACAAAGAAGGGGTAACCAAGCCACATGGCAGAATGTGGATTCAAAGAATATGGGTAGGCCAGGTGGCAGTGGCGGCGGCAGCAGTGGCGCATGCCTTTAATCCCAGCACTAGAGAGGTAGAGGCAGGTGGATCTCCATGTGTGAGTTCAAGGCCAGCCTGATCTACAGAGTGAATTCCATGTTGGTCAGAGTTACACCGAGAAACCTTTATCAAAAAGCAAAACAAAATTTTTAGATTGATTCATTTTATTTTACATATGAGTATTTTGCCTGTATGTATGTATGTGCACCATATCCATGCTTGATGTCCTTGGACATCAGAAGAAGCCATTGGATCCCCTGGAACTGAATGTATGAAAGGTTGTGACTCACCATGTGGGCGCTAGGAATCGATTCCAGGTCCTCTGCAAGAGCAGCAAGTGCTCTTAACTGCTGAGCCAACTCTCCAGTCTGTCAAGATTTGTGTTTTAGAGGCTGGAGAGGTGGCTCTGCAGTTAAGAGCACTTACTATTCTTGCAGAGGACCTGAATTTGGTTCCTAGTACCCATATCAGATGACTCACACCTGCCTGTAACTCCAGTTCCAGTGAATCTAACACCCTCTAGCTTTCTTGGGCACCTGCACACACATGATGGCCATAAACTCATGTACACACACACACACACACACACACACACACACACACTGATAAAAGAATCTCAAAAACAAACAAAAAGAATGTTCTTGGCACAGAGTATGGCAGGGCATGGCAG